TTACTTCACACGGAGCACTTGCGTTTGCTTAGCTACGATCATGACAGAAGGATAAATAAAAGTTTACGCGTTATCTTATTAAAAATACATAGTTTTTGTAAGCCAGCTAAACAAATTAAGTCGCTGAGTCCGTGATATGCTGATCTAATAACTTAAATTAATCTGTTTTACTCATTCTTCGCATATGCTTGTAATAATATACCTAATTTTTTTCTATTCTCTCTCCTTGATTTCTAAGTAGATTATCAAGTCCCATAATTAAGTCCTTGATTCTGAAAGAATAATAAATTTTTATGGTGATTGTATTGGTTTAACGCTCCCTCATCTTGGTTGGCTAGAGTAGCATGTTGTTGTTTTATTTTCCTATTCTGCTAAGAAATGAATAAATAAATAAAATGAAATATGAGATTAAATAAGGTTCTGGGTGTCATTTTATTTGTTGCACCCAGGCTTGAGCACTATTTGGTTCGAACCGAACAAGCGGACCAATTTTTTGGTGGCTCGGTTCGGTTTTGAAAATTTCAAATCAAAATAACTAAACTGGCTGATCTCAACATAATTGTCTAAAACCTCCTACGATCTTTATATGTGAAAGTATAATATACACTAATATATTTATATGTCTTAAATGATTAAGATTCATTTTTAGTTTGTACAATAGTTTATTTGACAATATTTAACTTGGGATAGAAGATGACTAAGAGGTTTGAAGGAGTGAAAGTGGTTTCTTTTAGCTAATAATTAATTCTCTAATTATGCATAAAGTCATAAGCTGACTTAAAGGCTTTATTACGTCACCTACCATCATTTTACATGACATAGTTACCCTAAAAAAATCTACATTGAATACTTAATAGATCATCATTAGTTTATGAGAAGCCAGATGTTGAGCTTTGATAAGTACAACATCTTAATCGCATGCATCATCAAGCTGGAACACGTCAAAACGTGTTTTTTCTGTTACTTTAAATTTTAAAATTTTTTTTTTTCAGCTCTTGCGTATGGGATGATGGCCCACCAAGTTCAATCTTCATCTAAAATTATCTTCAATCACGTGATAATTGGATGGGATTAAATTTTCTCGGTCCTTATTATTTTTATCACTTCTAACATATGAAATCACGCTACATAAAAATTTCTATTGCTGTCTTATAAATCACATTGGACTTGAAAACCTTTAGTAGACTTTGAAACTACTATCGTCAAAACCACTATTTGCGATAGAGAAAATGTTATATGACATGGTCTCGTCTTGTGAAATTGAGATAATTGAAAAGATTGAGATAATTGAACTCGTTTCAATTACGACGTAATTGTAGAAGATTTTAATTCGGGTTGGGAAAACAATTTGTACCTATTTCTATTTGAGATATGGAGCTTATGAGAGGACGTATGTGTTTTTTAAGTAGGGTCACTTTCACAAATGCTACTAATTTTGTCAATTTGCACAAGAAAAGCCATAACTTGTTTTTATTATGGAAAAGTATCATAAACATTAAAATCAAGGGAAATTACTCCAAAATTTATCATAAGACCATCATCTAGTTTTCTGATAGCATTTATGTTTTTCTATTCATCTGAAGTGTATATGACAGGTTTTTAATAAAAATAATTTAAAGATAGTTGTATGCAAAACCCCTAAATAAATTCCAACTATTAAGTATTTTTGCGTTGGTCTATGATTGTGTTCTAGGGTCAAGGTGTCGCTGAGTTAAACAACAATTAAATATATCTGCTTGATACTATATAAAATTTAGTAACTAGTCATTTGAGCGCAATTTTAATTATTCAATAATATAATTATATTCTTACAAAAATGAAACTAGGAATGTTACTATCTTATCGGGTCTAGTCTTAGGGTGTGTTTGGCAACAAGTTAAAGTTGGGTCACGTTTAGGCTAGAGCTGACCCAATTTTAACTTGTTTCTTATTTGTTAATTTTCAGGCTAGAGCTGACCCAATTTTTCCAGTCTAAATAGTGTCACTAAAGTAGTTTTCTTTTGGACCCGGAGAGTCTGATCCACAAAAAAATGGCTTAGTAGACTACTAGGCCAGGACTAGTCCTCGCCTAGTTTTGTTCACTTTGCCAAACACACCCTTTGGATGGAGGTGAACCAATGAAAGTTAAAGTGAAATTTTATTTTCACCTCGTTTGAGAGTTTTTTAGGGGTTAGAGGATGGAAACGGTTGTAAAATTTATATTCATTTTTATACCCTCCAATTTAGCAGTAGCGGAAGTAATAGAAACATATGTAAAATTTTATAATATAATAAGACAACTATACCCTTATCACACTAAAATCTATGGTCAAGATTCATTCTCATCCAATATATAAGGTTAACTTTGACTATATTCACTTTACTTCCATCCTCTAATATAAAACTCTCAAGCAAGTTAAAACAAATTTACTTTCGTTACCCTAACTAAACTTCCAAACAACATTTTATCTTTTCACTGCTATTCTTTATCTTTCCTTTTCGTCCTTTCCCTTAGGGCCCGTTTGGATGGACGTAACTATTAGAAGTAAGAAGTGGATCAAAGATGTAACTTCCTCAATTATGAAGTAGAAAGTAGCGAAAGTAATATTTATTTTGTTTGTTTCATATATTTTTAGAAGTAGTGGAAATAGTATTTCATCATCTTCTTTTATTTATTTGTTTATTTGGATAGAAATTGAATATATTATTTAAGACTATCCATCATTGGTAAATCTCTAATTTAAGTGAACCCTATTTTTTATCCACTTCCCCTCTACTTCTGAGCTTTCAAGGGCGGAAAAAATCTAGAAAGTAGGAGTGTCACCTAGACGCCACATCTGCATTTATGAAAGTAGCTGAAGTAATCTTTTCGGAGAAACAAATATAATTTTCTATTTAAAGTAAGAGAAACTTCATCTACTTCAGTTACTTTTTTGCTATGAGTTTTGCTACAGTGACCCAAAATATGTGACCAATAAGATGGACAAGTGAGGTGTCCCCCTCCTATTGGATAATGAGTTGGTCATTATTAATGATGACCAACTCATTATCCAATAGGAGGGAGACACCTCACTTGTCCCCCCTATTAATCTCATATTTTAGGTCATTAAGAAATTTTTTTTTTGCTATTTTTGTGCAAACAAAGTGGCCCTTAGTCAAATCCCAACACACCCTTAGAGCATCTCCAACAGCTTCCCCATCTTCTTGATATTCTAAAATTTGGAGAATTTTAAGCTTTTTTTTGGTCCAACAGATTCCCCATCTCATTCCCCAAAATGGGGATAAGAGAGAAAAAATAGAGAGCCTTCCCCAAATCTGCAGCATTCTGCAAATATTTGGGGAAGCACTTTTTCACGTTCTTCTAGACTCAACCCACAAAAAACAACTCCATCTCCTCATTATAATAATAAATAATTTGGTCAAAATGGGGATTCTTCAAAATAATAAATAATTTATTATTTATTAGTCAAAGATGTAGAATATTTTTATTATTATAATAAATGCATGATTCTTCAAAATGGGGAAGCTGTTGGAGTTGGAAAAAAAATAATTTGGAGAATATGACATTTGATTCCTCATTTTGGAGAAATTTTTAGAGAAGGTGTTGGAGATGCTATTAGAATCCGATCCGCATAACTCGGGATAAGTATTTTATTTATCGTTGTCACTTTCCGCCGTAATTACCAGATATTTAATTCCTAAATTCTGGGGGTAACTTTACCGAATACGGTGCCCAGATCCCATCCTTCAAGGCAGACAGAGACGACTACAGACCGATACCATTGAAAAATCCCTCGAGTCTTCGCACCCCAATTTTCTCTCTCTAGAATTTTACACATTCTCTCTTGAATTATTAACCCCGAGTCGCCTTCACGTTGGTCTTCAAGCCCCCTCGAGGAGAGTTGAAGAGAGAAGAGAGCTAGCTAAAGGTGACTTCTTTCATTCTTTCTGTTCTTAAAGCTGCATTGCTAATTTTGAGAAATTAGCTTGTTTTGGACCTGGGTTTTGTTCGGTTCGGTGTTTTTGGCGAGGATGTTGGTGAAAGATTGGATTTTGAGGGGGTTGGTTCGAGGAATGTGAGAGGATTGGAGGTTTGCCCGTGAGGTGTTTGTAGATTTGACTCTGTGAGTTTGGGAAATTTTTGATATTGGGTTTTGTAAGGAGAAGTTGGATCTTTGTTGGGCTTTGAAGATCTGGGCCATGCTAGATATGTGCTTGTCACAGGTTTTCATGCGCTAGTTTGAGTTAGGATTAGCAGGAGGAGATTGGAGCTACTGAGACTAGGTTAAGATTTCATAGTGGGTTTAATAGGAGATTCTATGAGAAGGGGAAAGGTTGGATCTCTGGTGGTTTTTTGAAGTGTTGGAGATCTGGGTCATGCTAGATTTGTGCTTGCCACAAGTTTTGATGGATTAATTTGATTTTGGACCAGTAAGATGGCTACTTCTCCTTCTTCTTCGGCGACACCGCCGTCTTCTTCCGCTACGCCTGCACCTCCAATACCTTCTTCTTCATTGTCTCCTCCACCTTCAACCTCCCAATCACCAGTGTCACAACCCAATCGCCACCTTCTGACCCCCAGGCCTCTTTCTAATGCCTCCTACCTCCTTTAACTTCCACTTCCCCTCCCCCTCCTTGTCGCTCTCCCTACTCCTTCACTCCCGAATTACACCACCTCCGGCCGCCAAGTCCCTCCTCCGCGTTGCCTCTCCTCCTCCTCCACCACCAACATCATCACCTCCGCCTTCTTCGAACCCTCCTCCTACTCCTAAATTAACCCCTCCACCTTCTGCTAACCCTCCCACAACTCCTACCTTAACTCCTCCACCTTCTGCTAACCCTCCCCCAACTCCCACCTTAACTCCTCCACCTTCTGCTAACCCTCCCCCAACTCCTACCTTAACTCCTCCACCAACTCAAGCTGACCCCCCCTCAGTA